GCAGCGCTGCCCGCTCCCCTCCTCTCCCCGCGCCCCCACCCGCACCCGCGGCCCCGTTAATGGTTAACCCGCCCGGGTGGGACGATGGGGCCGGCGGCGGTGGCGTGATCCCCCCCGCGCCCGCCCCACCGCGCCGGGCAAAGCTCCGCGCCGCCGCTCCGCGGGTGCGCACCGCCTCCTCGGCTCCGCGGGTGCGCTCCGATTCTTCCGCCGGTGCGCTCCCGAACCTCCGCGGGTGCGCTTCGGCTCCTCCGCGAGTGCGCTCCAGCTCTTCCGCGGGTGCGCACCGGCTTCTCGGCTCCGCGGGTGCGCTCCGGCTCCTCCGCGAGTGCGCTTAGGCTCCTCCGCGAGTGCGGACCGCGTCCTTGGCTCCGCGGGTGCGCTCCGGCTCTTCCGAGGGTGCGCTCCGGCTTTTCCGAGGGTGCGCTCCGGATCCTCCGCGGGTGCGGACCGCGTCCTTGGCTCAGCGGGTGCGCTCCGGCTCCTCAGCGGGTGCGCACCGGATCGTCGACTCCGCGGCTGAGCTTGGGATCCTCCGCAGGTGCCCTCCAGCTCCTCCGCGGGCGCGCTCCCGAACCTCCGCGGGTGCCCTCCAGCTCCTCCGCGGGTGCGCTCCAGCTCCTCCGCGGGTGCGCTCCAGCTCTTCCGCGGGTGCGCACCGGCTTCTCGGCTCCGCGGGTGCGCTCCGGCTCCTCCGCGGTGCGCTTCCGAATCTCCGCGGGTGCGCACCGGCTTCTCGGCTCCGCGGCTGAGCTCGGGATCCTCCGCAGGTGCCCTCCAGCTCCTCCGCGGGCGCGCAGGGGCTCCGCCGCCCGGTCAGCGCCTCGCGAGAGGGTCTGGGCGGCCCCCCCAGCATCTCCGCGGTCCCCGTCGGGGGTCGGGGGGGGGGGACGGGACTGCGATCCGTTATGTCCCCGCGGGGGCTGGCGCTGGTGGTGGCGCTGGTGGTGGCGGGGGCGGCGGCGGAGCTGGCGGAGGAGCTGGTGCTGGCCCTGGGGGCAGCGGAGGAGGAG